GGCGGCTGCACCTTAAAGACCTCTTGCTGCGCTGTAATGCGATGTCTCTCAGCTGTCTGCGACACCAGAGTGTACAGTGGGCAATCCACTCCTGCCCGGACGAGGAGAGCCTCGTTGCTTTCCCTAGTGAGATGAACCGGACTTTCACAGATCGCACGAAGGTGACGCATGAATAAGGCGCGGTACTTCTGCATACCTTGGATGTCAAAACCTGTACAAGTGATGCCGTACCTCAGAGTGCTGTGCACAACTGCATTCCAGAGCCGAATTTTGCCTCGCAGGGAAAGCTTACTCGTTTTCTTGAGGGCAACATTAAGTCGTGCGAAGCTCGCTTGGGCACATTTAATTCTGTAGTTGACTGTGTCCCTGGTGTTGCGACAGACCCCTCAGAACTTGTGTGATGTGATGATGGGAAGGACCCTGTCCGAGCGGGTAGGCATCTCAAGGCACAGATTCAGGGTGGTGCTCATTTGTTCCGGGCGTGCTGAGCACAACTGTTTTATCAAGATTTGCCTGTAAATCGTGTTGTTGCAAAAAGTCAAGCAAGAATCCAATTTGTTTGATTACCAGGTGGACCTGGTCCACATCATTGACCTCCCATTGACAAAGTGTCTTCTGCAAAAAAGAGTCAACAGGTTTTTGCAAATCGCTTTCTGAGAGCACTGGCATAAGTTTGGACATCAGCCATCCTGTAAAACAGCTCCACAAAATGGAGGCCAAGCGGCAACTTGCCCAACGTCTTTGCTGTGGCTGTTTGCGCGCAGTGGCCAGAAGCCGAATACTGCAGCGTCATCGCGTGGTGCATGCCCAAAATTTAGGAAGCATGTTGTTTGACCCCTGCGCGTCTGTAGTGCAGAGCATATTGGCGCCTCGTCCGATGCTGAGTCTGCCACAAAGGAAGCATGGCACGATCAATCACGTCCATGGTGGACCGGCCTGTCAGACAAGCGAACTGTAGGAAGGGGGCCACAGCTTTGGTGACGTCAGCCGAATTCGACCCATAACTGCCAGCGAATGACTTGCCTAGGAGAATTTAGAAGTGAAATGGGTCGCATTTTGTTTACTGCTGCTGGTCGGTTTTGGCCATTGTGCTGCAAATGGCCCTGGTTGAAGACAACCTCCCAGGCATTGTGTTGTTGCTGTGCCCACCGCCTCGCAACACCATTTCCACAAAGGAGCGGCGGGGGCACAATGTGCCGGGAGAGCCTTGTGCGTCGGAAGCTCATGCAAGTATCTCTTCGGCCGTGAAAGAAAAGGCCTCTCGCAGTGTGAGCCGCGAAGACATCGGCAAAGTGCTTTATCACCAGTTTTACCTCCTTGTCGGGACCCGCTAGTTTGTGCTCATCATCGCGCAGTTGCATGCGCCTTCTGCGAATTTTGGGAGCAATTCGTCGCACGACCTGATACAACATGCCAGGGTTCTGGGAGCTACTGGCCGACTCAGCATCCTGCAATTGTTGTTGGAGCCGAGCCCGCTTGGCAACCACTGCCTGGGTGTGTAGCTGTGTAGCTTTTTGCGAATGGAGCGGTATTGCACCGCATGCCGCCATCTTGCAAAAACTGTGTGTGCTGTGGAGGCCATTTTCCGATGGTGCCACAATGCAGCGAGGCAGACCCCTCTGGTTTTATTCACTGTCCGAGGCTGGGAC